CTGATTATCTTCACATGCCAGCTGTCTGCTGACCCTCCCTCTAACTTAAAATCAAATTAAAAATAGTTAAAAACTGGGGAACATTCAAGCAGATTTTTATCCAGTAATAGCAGAAACACTTTGTATTTGTTCAACTAAAGTACATTTTTATTTCAGATACTAAACCAACGCAGTGCATGAAGTCCTTCTCTGAGCTGCACATTCGTTCTGATGTGAATCAAAAACGGAAGCACTATGATAACACGTCTGTATTCTCATCAGGTCATTGGCTCAAAAACCTGTTTTGTTTTTAGCAATCCAGGTATGTGATATGTTCATACATGTACTGTCTGGCATGATCCTTATCATTTCTGGCATTAACTACTTACATAAGCACAATATCTTCTTTAGTGCAACAAAAGCCCCACATGATCCGTCCACGAGAGAAACATGTGCACTTCTGCATTCATGCTTTAGAAATGGATTCTATCATAAGAAAACACTGCAGGAAGTTACGTGAATCGCTTGTAAAAAAGCCATACAAATACAAGAAGTATTATATGTTTTACCTCTCAATATGCTGCAACTGAAAATACATTTATTTAGGAACTTTTGAGGCTGTTTGTTGATGGTTTTACGATTTGGTAACATTTTCATTTATCTTCCGTCACTCAGTTACATTTCTCAGGAGCAGATTTTGATGGCTTTCTTTGCATTTATTATATCCTCTGTTTGTAGTTTCTGTTTATACTCAAGTTCATCTTCTTGGTTCTGTAGTTTGAGTTGTCTCCTTTTGTAATTCCATTCTGTTCTTTCTATCCTGTCTTGCCTGTTTCTCTTCTGTCTCTCAGGTTCTCGGGTTCGCATGTCTTAGTCTGGTTCTCAGTGTGTGTGTTAGTTTCAGTTTTATTTAGATAATCTCGTGTGCTTCATATTGAGTTTTATGTCTCCATTAACATTATTCCTGATTTTTTAGCTGAGTTCCCCGGTGTTTCACGTTACCTAGTATATATTAGCTCGCTCTTCACTCATCCATCTGTGTAGTGTCCATGTTCATATCTATGCCTCTTGTGATTCCTAGTTTTGATTATTTAGCGCCAGCTCATCTGACGTCCTTGTTTTGTGTTTGCTTTGAGAGTTTCTTAATAAATCTACCCACTGATTTTGCATTCCATCTCCTGAATCCCACATGGGGGTCCTTTTCCTGTTTTCCACGCTTCTGAACCAAACCAACATATGTATATACAGTACATGTTATATAAATGTGGCAAGTCTGATATCTGCAGAAGTGCCTCCTGTCCAGAGGAGGTCGCTCTTTCTGTCCTAGTCAGGACAGGCCAGTCTGCTTTTACATCAAACTACAATGGAAAACAACCCAAACAATAAACACCATATACAGCATATAAGGCAAAACTGGGGCTTGTACAATTCCAACCAACGTGAAAGTCAATATTTAGTATGGCTGCTTTTATTCAGCACATCCTGAATTCTCTTAGGTAAGCTTTGTTGTAAATTTTAATTTCTCGTTTTCACACTTCTTTTTTTTTTTTTTTTCTAAATGACATCAGAAACAGCAGTATGCGACATTACGTGATGGCAGAGCTTCAGTTCATCCTTTGTCTTTTTTTTTTTTTTTTTTTTTTTTTTTTTAATAAATAGGACAGGGGAATGAATGAGAGAAAGAGGGGAGAGAAAGAAAGAAACCAAAGGGAGAAGAGACGGTGAGAAGGGGGGGAAGAGAGAGAAAAAAAAAACTCCTGGGTCACCTGTATGGAGAAAAAAAAAAAACAAAAAAAAAAACAGAGGAGACAGCAAACAACAAAGAGCAACATAATAATAGAGAAACAAAGCACCATCACAATAAACTAGCTAGTCATAGATATCAATATTTACTAATAATAACGATATTGTGCAGCACGCAAGATAGACAGCGCACAGTGTGCTTTGAGCAGCAGCCAAGAAAGCTTTAGTCCGCGTCTGTGAATACCCATGTGTGCATACCTGTGTGGATCAGCATGCTTGCATTCCAAAGGTTTCTCCATGTAATGATCTGCTAGGGAGTGTGGGGGGCCACAGCCCGTCCTCCAGGGTGTGAAGCGGGTATGGAGGAGATCAAACTCCAGACATCCAGAGGCCCCAGAACACAAGAGACCATGGAAGACCAACAGAGGGCAGCCGCGCCACTGTTCAGTAAGAGCTGAGGAGAGTCCCAGATGAGGGCTCGCCCAGCAGCCGCGGAGCAGAAGTCAGGGGAGTTGCAGTGACGCGCCCGTGAGCTCCGCCGGCCCCAGCTGTGCCTGAGTGACCGAGCCCAGGCCGAGAGGCCGGGGCACCCACCTCCAAAGGGCCCGAGCGAGCCCAGGCCCAGGCCCCGACAAGCGGCCGCCAAGGAGTGAGCCGGTGTGTTTTCACACTTCTACAGTGGCCTACTTTGGTTAATGGTAACATCAGTAATGTCAAAAATTTTCTCCCCCTTAGCATTTGGCATTTTCCCAACAATATAATGTAATACCATAATCTAAACCCAGTCAATAAAACATAATTTTCTTAAGCAAACATCAGCAACCAAAAATTACCAGCTGCAAGATTAAGTCTCCAGCTCCACACTCTCATGTGAACCTCCAGTCTCTCTCTCTTCTCCTCCTGCCCCTGCCAAAAGCAAAGCAAAGCAAAGCATCCCCTTTCTCTTCCCTGCGTGGTTAATTGTTTGTCAACATTTACTCATCCTAACCTTGGTCCAGTCTCTGTCTCAGTGTCCGGTCAGTCAAAGATTCAGTCCACATCGTCAGTCCATCGCAGTTCTGTCTGTCTTCTGTCTTCATCAGGAAAGTGACTGTCCTTTAAGCTTCTTCTCAGGATAAGGACAGAATGAGAGGTGAAGCTGTCAAACTTTTAAGCCAAAGCCTGGCCTGTCTTCGTCCTAATTCTGTTAATCTATCATTTTGCCGCTGTACTCATGTTTTCAAGTTGAGAAGAGTCCATGGACACGTCTATTAACACACTAAAACATTTATTTAATATCATTTTCATTACCATTTCTTAACACTACCTAGATTTTTAACACATCTCTCTTTCTCTGGTTGCACACTCCACACATCCGCCAGTTTCCTTTTATGGGCATGCAAAGTTGTTCACTTCCTGCCAGACACACACACACAAATATACTCAGCTCTTTGCATTTGCAAGCATTCACATCAAAACCCAGCACACTTAACAGAGCTCTTTTGGCACAAATCCTCAGGATAATTAACAGTTTTTTTTCACACAGATCACCATTCTTTAGCTCGGTTTTGTAGCATCATTCACACAATACTTTCACACACACACACACACACACACACACACACACACACACACACACACACACACACACACACACACACACACACACACACAGCCTTTCCTCTCAAAACAATGTGCACATTTAATCATTCATCCAAATAACAATTTTACACTTCATTTATACATTCACACATTTATAACAAAAGACTGCCACTGACTGCCAAGGTAAATTATTTCTATTACCATATCACATCTTCACTTCATCTTCAAAACCTCAGTACCTAACTTTTCGACTAATTTAAAAGCCTCTAAGGCCCAGGTTTGCCCACCCTGCTGGTCAATTTTACCCGCTTCGGGAACGCCCTCACCGATAGCAGTCAAATTTCTAGGCCCTAATTAATTTATAAGCGCTCCCCGCAGCTCAACAGGAAGCTTTTATATTTCATGCACTTATGATTGTAGAATAAGCCACTGTCAACCTATATAAACAATAAATTAACTTCACTTTGTGTGCAGAGTAAAGGTGAGAAAACTTTCAAAGACTTTTAAGCCCTTTATAACATCGTACATTGACTAGGCTATTTTTTAGGTTGACTTTGTGTAGCTTGAATTTATCTGTCAGGTCATTGTTGCTGTTTCGTGCGTTTTGTGGAGACATAACCGTGATGCTTGCAGTAAATTTTACAGTTTTCACAGTTGACAGTTTTTTCCCTCACTTGTTTTCTCGCTATTATTTTTAACCAATGACTTCCTTGTAGGCTTACAATGATGCCTGGGAAGAAATTATTGAACAGCAAACTGTGACTGTGTTCACGACAATCTGCTTTAAGGTTTCTTGACAAATATTTCAAATAAGCTTATTTTGTTTATCATAATAATCATCATCAAGCATTAAAACGTACTGCAGTTAAAGTCGTGAAAACCTGGCAAGCTTTTGTAAATTCGATTTTGGATGTTGACACATAAAGTGCATTCATTTTTGTTTCCTTTAAAGTTTCACTGACTTTAAAACAACTGATGATATTGTTCGTGTTATTTGGTCTGTTTACTGGAGGTAAGTTCTGCACAGCAAAATACACACAGGTCAGGTACCTGAATAAATATGCAATCTATGTCACGGTCCTGAGACTTTGACCCAGCATTTTGACTTTTGGACTGTGGAATATGAGGTAATGTTGCAAGTCAAATGAAGATGAGCACTGCTTGTATAATGTGTTGTACTTCTGGTTTCTTCTTTTTAGTCTCCTTCCTGAGTGAAGATGATTTGCTCTTCTTATGTTGCTGTTTTGCTGGACTTGTTATTGTTCTTCTTTTTGTTGGATATAAAATGACAGCTGCACTCAGGAATCAGGTGGCCTTATATTTAATACATTCTGTGGTTACTGTAGTAACACTGTGTGCTCAAACACCTGATCCTCTGAAATTATGAATCCTGATAATGTGATAATTCAGCTTCACCTCGTCTGTCCTTTACACTCTCAGCCAGGTCTTTTCAGCTACATGAAGGCATGCCCTATAAACAAGAAAAGAGAGTTTCAGGTAGACATATCATTTTCTTCCCACACCCTCTTTTGAGCTCAGAAGCCATGTGATATTGGCTGCTGGTGGGGATAACTATTGTGCTCCATTCAGGGAATGGCATTTATCTAAAGTGAACAAGAGATGGCCTATTGCCAGCGGCTCTGCAGATGATATATTCTAAGTCACGTATGCTCTTTGAGTCAGAGACGACAGATGAACTCAAGATGAGGGTACACAGAATATTTCTCCTGGTAGTGCTGGGCTGCAGCTGGGCCGGTGGACGAATTGTGCCAAAATGTGAACTGAGAGACCAACTGATCTGGGCAACCAGCAGCCTTCCACAGAAAGCAAAAGATTCAGGACTGGACAGTGAGAAGTTCGTGACCAAGAGTAAGTGGCAACGATGCACTGAAGTCTGCTTAGAAATGAAATAGATTTAATTTAATGGATTTATTGAAACCAAGGATTGTGACGCATTGTATTTTAGGACTTCGATTTTATATTGATATTTGTTTTAAGTCTCGTATAGAGTCTTTGAAAGCTGATGAAATCAAAACATTAGACTTGTAAACAAACTGGGAGTATGACAAGAGTCATGCCTGACATCTTTTTTCTTGTATATCTTTAATATAAACAGTAATTTGGTGTTCACTTTAAATGGCAAGCTAGCCCAACTCACTCTTCTATCTTGCTCTTATGCTTTAGTTTCATTATTAAGGTACTTTAACTGTGGGCTCGACTCTGTTTCCTCTCTGAAATCCCATTTTAATGTGAACAACTAAGATCCGACGATTCACGTGAAATGACAAAGCAAACTCTCAGCAACTTATTAAGCACCACTGTGATAGCAAAGAAACATGCCAGATGGCAGCTGCTTTGTCATCTTTGAGAAGGATTCATATTGCAACAGGATAATGATCCCAAACACAGATAAATATTCTTCCTCCAGATCAACCAGATTAGTGGTAAAAATGTTAGGTGAAACTGGTTCGGGTTTGTTTAAGATATGTTAAAAGACATGTTTTGAAATGTTGGTGGTGCTAGGAAAAACTAAGTCGTGGAATTATTAGCAACTTCTAGGAGCCATAAATATCCAGAGGAAATTAAACAGATATATGCCCAGTCGTTTGAAAAACATTTGTCAGTTTGCTTCTCTTTTCTTCTCCAGTCGTCTGTTTTGTGGAAAACGTATCAGAATTTAACACCAGTTTGGTCAGTAACGGGCTGAGAGACGATGGCATTTGGCAGAAGAACAATTCTTCTGGGGACTCGGACGACACACTCTATGGCATTTTCCAGCTCTGGGATCAGCTGGTCTGTGGTAACGGCACAAATTCATCACCAAATATTTGTGCGATAAACTGCATGGGTGAGTATCATTCATTACAGGCAAATAAGTACGTTTGTAGATTTTTAATATCTTTCACTTGTTATTTTCTTGAAATTTGATGGATAGAATATCAGATGTAATTGTAGCGTCAAGCCTAGACAATGTAAATAAACAGAATCTACATCTGAACTAGAAAAATGTTTGTTTCTTTTTCTCCTTCTAGACTTGATTGATGATGACATACAAGACGATGTCCGCTGTCTGATGAAGCTCTTCGTCGATCTGGTGTAGGTCTTTCTGTCTTTTCTATGTAATTTGTCGGTATGATGTCACAGGATGCAACGAACCAGCAAAGATCCACGATGACAACTGAGAGATTTTGTTGTGATCAGATTAGAAAGTTGAATGTTTTGTTTGCAACTACACCAATTATTAACAGAAGGAACCGTGAGTACTCAGTGAAATTCACTTCAGTGCCTATATTCATGATTTCCACAGTGAAAAAGGTTTTGGGGCAGCCCATTGGAAGGAGCTAAAGAAAGAGTGAGTTATGTCTTTATCTGTTTTGAAAACATGACCTTTAAGATGAACTCGTTGCTCAGTGCATATGCTATTCCTAATAAATTGCAATATTTGAATACATAAACTAATGCAAATCTGTTCTCTTGCAGGATTAAGCTCATCTTGCAGGATAAGTGCAAAGATAAGCAAGCAGCTGAGTACTTTGCTGAATGCCATTAGTAATGAATCTTATGTTAACAGGAATAAAGTGATTTGTGAAAATAAAATAAAACTAAAGCATGTAAAGTAAAGATTTAGAGTTGTCTGGAAGAACTGAATTGAATCTAGGAAATGTGGATTAAGATGAGCAGTGTGAAGAGGAGAATACAGAAATGTTAACCAGTGACTTAGATAAGTAGAGATAATAATGTCCTATGGCACAGGTACTGCCATGGAGCAGCTCAAAGCACAAACAAAACAGTGAGACCACACAGATAATGGAGTTTTGAATAGCAACAACAAAACAATCAAATTCAATTACCATCAAAATATATGTGATGAGTTCATGAATGTGGTGAAGGTGTTAAAAGGAAGAAAGATGCTGTTGGCATCAAGCCATTTTTAAAACAGTCAGCCAGTAGGTGTACTTCCTTTAGGAACTGCCTCGCACACCCTGCCTGTCTCTACACAAAACCAGAAAGAGGACAGAGCAGGCAGAGTGGGAGCACTCATCACCAGTGTGAGGTTGATTACTAAACTTTAGCATCAGGAGACACAATATAGATGTAGGATGTACTCGACAAGTAAGATTCACTTTCAGCTTTGTCAAGAGCCCCAACAGTTCTAGCAGGACGGTGCAGAGCTATCCAACTTGTTCTTACTGCAAGGTGTCAAATACAGTTGGAGGCTGTTGGCCTCACAGAGACGAACAAGGTGTCCTTTAGTGTCAAAAATCCAGAACCATTTCATGTTTTTATTCACCCCAGTTGCTTTAGAAGCGCCAGTTAACTTACCCCTATGCATGTCTTTGGACTGTGTTAGGCTGCTGAAGTACTGGATAATATGCAAACTCCACACAGAAAGGTTGATCCCACCTTGATTCAAATGCAGGACCTTTTTGTTGGCAGGTGATAGCCCTTCAAGGGCTGTAGTTTAATTATTTTTGATCCTCAATAATGAAGACATCTTTTTGTTCAAACATGATATATGACGCAATAACAAATGCTAAAAACAATTCTGTGCTTCTTTCAGCCTGGCATAGTTACAAATAATACCGCTATCATGGTTTCATGTGCAGTGTTGGGAACATAAATCAGATTTCTACTAAAGATTATGACCATAACATGTGATCGTGTACATCATACAGTGTATTAAAACCATATTAGAGTAAGCAAATTTGTTGATGTTGTCATTCTGGCTTGTTACCACTAGAGGTCAGTCTTTGATGCAGTTTCTTTAGATTCTTCATCCTGCACTTCTACATTTGTCTTTCTCTCTGTTCCACTCTGTCCTTGGGGACAAGTCACACACATGTCACGGTCACATGTCACAGAGGGGAAAGAAAATCCGAAACAAGTTGAGAACACAAACATGTGTATTCACACATGCAGTAAATGTCTTGATGCATGCTCAATCGTTCAGGTATAAGGAAATCCCAGAAAGTTGATTCTGTTTATCTGGAAGTAGCGTTTTCAGTGGGCGAAACATTTCATCACTCATTCAAGTGACTTCTTCAGCCTCCAGGTTTCCCCAATCTTATAAACACCACATCCAGAACACCTCGGATTTTGACTATAGAGGCAGATGAAGCAATGGTCTGGTACGATGTTACATCTCTCTTCACTTGTGTTCCAGTTACTGAAGCAGTGGAGGTAGTTTGTAAGAGATTACAGGGTGACCCCAACCTCAGCAACAGGACCACTCTCTGCACTTACCACATTTTTTTGCTCTTGGAACTGTCTTCATTACACCTATTTTAGAAATAAGGGTCAGTACTACAGGCAGAAACATGGCTGTGCCATGGGTTCCCCAGTTTCATCGATTTTGGCCAACCTGCAAATGGTAGAAGTGGAAAAGGGGGCTTTGTTATCCTACCATGGAACACCAACAAGCTTTGGATCAGGTATGTGGATGACACCTGGAGAAAATCAAATCTCAGGACATACCACAATTCACTGATCACTTTAACACGGTGGGTCAACACAGCAAGTTCACCAGGGAGGATGCGAAAAATGGCAGGTTGGCCTTCATAGACCGTGAGATTTACAACAGTAATGTGGACATTTAAAAGCTGATGTGTGCCTTAAACCTACGGACACGGATCAGTATTTAATGTCTGACTCTCATCATCCACTGGAGCACAAACTGGGTGTCATCAGGACGCTACAACACTAACCCTTACTGATCCCTTGTGTGTCAGGAGAATCACACAATCACAATTGAGACGCGTTTTCTCTAAACACTGCATCTCTCTGGCTTTTAACTCTTTCGTCCTGACCCCAAAACAGTTAGAAATCCATAAGTTTCAGGTTTTCTAACTGTTAAACTGGGGTTAAACTGACCTCCCAGCCCACTGTTCATTCAGTGGTGCTAGTTTCAGTCGTTGTGCAAATGTATTGTTTATAAGGTTGTGTAAACCTGCAGTCAGCTGAGACTGAAGAAGCCTGGATAAATAATGAAATATTTCTCCCACTGAAAACGCTACGTCCAGATGAACAGAATCAACTTTAATAAAGACAGTAAATAAAGACCAGCATGCAATTCATATCATTTGTTCCCTTTAAGTCCAGTTTGGCTCTTGAACAGCTAGATGGTCCTTTCCAGTATCTGTTTACACTGGCATGTGGTGTGTTTGCTTTATCAGAGATTGCTACTGCCCTCTGCTGCTAGAAAAGATATTACATGTAGTGTTGAGGAAAAAAAACACACAAGACTTGATGTGTACTAAGATCAAAACAGGAACCAAGAGAAGCTAAAGTTTTCTATTGCGCTGGAGAGTTGGATGATAGTTAAGTTGGCTGGGTCTGGTTTAGGACAATTGTCACCCAGTGGATTTGAGCTCTGGACACATTTTTGCTTCTATATTTTCTATTTTTATGGACTCTACATCTTTGGAACTGGATAGGCTGGCAGCTCTGGTGATCTTGGTGAGCGTTTCCTCGTACGGTGGAGGCAGGTAGACCATAACAAAGACTCCATCGGATCCATCAGAGCTGGTGCTGGCGTGGCGCTCGGCGTTCTTGGTCAGAGAGGACAGAAACTCAACGCTGCTCTCTGCATCCTCAAGGTCAAGAGTGATGATGTTAGCCAAGCTTAGTTTACTGTGTGAATAACAGCAGTATATCAGACCAACCAGGACAGCCAGCAGGAGGACGGAGACAATTGGAAGGATAATGTAAACCACCAGCTCCACACTTTCTGGAAATCCTAATTCGAGTCCATAAAAACTGTTGTCCTAGAGATCAGCAAAGAAGAATTCATGATATATTTGTCAGCACTGTCAGAACTTCCATAGTCATCTATAAGCACATTTATGTAAGAGATGTGCAAATTAATGCAGATTGCTAATGATGTATAGGTAAGTATATAACCTTATACCCCCCCCCCCCTCCCAAAAAAACCCAAAAGATTTTATTCACAATAAAACATTAAAAACAAATCAAATGTTTAAACTGAAAAAATGTACCATTTAACCAAAAAACAGCCCTCATTCACTAACAGTGCATAAATTATGTGTCAGAATGTTTCATTTACAAATTGTTGAATTATTACAGTTTGTATTTTATGAACAAATTTGTACAAACAAAAGGAACCTGGCTGTCTCGTAGTAGAATACTGCTACTACTACAACTGCTGTAATAATCCATCCAGCCAGCCATTCTCTTCCACTTATCCTTTTCAGGGTCGCCGGGGGGCTGGAGCTTTTCCAGGGCAAGAGGCGGGGTACACCCTGGACAGTTAGCCAGTCTGTCACAGGGCTAACACATAGAGACAGACAGACTTTCGTACTAAGATTCACACCTATGGGCAATTTATAATAAGCAGCAGCTGTTTCTGCAGTGAGATAACATTGATTTCATTTTAGATTAAGCTGTCCCACCTGCACATCTGCAGTGCTGATCACTCATAACCCTGAGACGGTTTGATCCAGAAACAAAGGGTGATTCTACAGCCCTCCAGCTTTGAGAGAACAACGTGTGAAGAAACATGTTCTTCTTACGTCCACTCATAGTGTCCCTAATTCCTGTTGCCTCACTTTTTCTAGCAATTAGTTAATGCTGCCTGGATAGGCAACAGGAAAGTGAGGCAACTCTGCATTTCACAGAGTTACATGTTGGCGCTATATAAAATAAAATTGAATTCAATTGAATTGAATTGAACATATAACAGGTGAAAATTAAATCAGATTAACTGAAAAAAAATGAGTTGACTTAAATAAAAAAAACTTTAATTTAACTGTAGCATAAAAGTATTTATTAAACATAACAGCTGCAACTTTGAGCTTAATGTAAAAATCTGTTTCCTTAACAACCAACATCTGCTATCATCAAAGCAGCAGAGGAGCCAGTAACTCATCTTAAGGTGTTATGGTGTTATTCCAACAGATGTTGGCTCTGCAGCATCAGTGCTGGAATAACTCATATCTTAAAATTATAACATTTAATTTAAAAACAAGGATACACAAAAATAAGCTAGGTGAGAAATGTTTCTTTCATTCATTATTATTATTATTAGTACGGTAGTAGTTGTTGTTGGGGGAGCTTTAATATAAAGGATTAATTTGTCAGATTTACACAGCTGAACTCTACACACCTGCTGCTCTGATGTTGAAGGAGATCCTGTCACCCAGTCATACGACTCTCTGCCTGCTGGTCCAAACCTCATCCAGCTGCTATCCAGTAGCCCCCGCATGATGCTGAGGTGTGTGTGATTGATGTTGGATGGTGAAATATATGTTTACAGAGTAAAGACTGGCTCGAGCTGTTGGTCCGGATGTTTCGGGAGTAAACAAAGCTGAGAGCAGGGCGGAGATGGCTGCTGATTGGGGGGGAGGAGGGTGCTTGGAGTCCGGTGAAATGAGTAAAACTGGGGTCAAACGGTTGGTGGGAGGGGCCACATGCTAAGCAGCTGCTCACATGCTCGCACATGCAGGCTTTATACTCCAGCCGGCCTTATAAGAATATTAAGTATATATGAGCGTGTGTGAAAAGCTTGGTTACATAAAAAGGCGGGGCTTCACTTTACATCAAACCTCAGACACATGGACATAATCGAGAAATAAATCAATCTGAGAGTGAAGTTACACACCTGTTACAAACTATTTGTGTATTACTATTTATTGCTACAAAATGATAAAACATTCATGCATTTATCCATTTTCTTAATCATTTGTCCGAGCCAAGGGGTGCTTTTAGAAATATTTGCTAATTTAGTTAAAGTGTAAAATAGAATTCCCTTATTCCAAGTTTTGTCAGCCTTAATTCAGCCATTTTTACAGCAGTTACAGTTTTAAGTCTTCTTTGACAAGCTTTGGACGCCTTCATGTGGGCGGCATCGACACCAGCATCACATGTGAAGATCCTCTCAGAGTCTGTTTCAGACTTCACAGATGATAAGAAGTCTTGTGTCCCCTGGAGATGAAGCCTGACTTTCAACCCAGGTTTATAAATCCGCAGACTCGTTGCTCACTCTGGTTTAAATCCCCAACAGGCCTTCAGTCAGGGGATATAAAGCAGCCATCAAGCTCTGACTGATTATGGTGCTTATACAGATGAGCATGAGAGTGATCACTTTGAATTTAATACACCTGAGCTCTCTTTGTTCTAGAATGTCGTGCCTATGTGTTTATATACAACTTTTTTGGAGCAAAGTATCATTAAATATTCTGTTTCATTTTCAAAGAGATTTTCCTAGTCTGTCCATTCAGTTGAATTCAACTTTATTTAAACCACAGTCATTCACAGTTGCCTCAAGCCAGTTTATACCGTAGATCCTAGCATGATGGATGCGACAGAGTTTAATGAATAAAAACTTGGCGACAGTCTGTAGGTCTCTTCAGTATTATTAAGTAGTGAAAGTTATGAATTACAAAAGTATCCCATTACATTGTTACATTGTGACATTACATTATTATGCCTTTGTGTTGTCTCATATGCTACATGAGTACTATAGCATAGGTATAGAAGTACCACCTATGTGATAGATATATTAATAGATTTTATGTTAACTCATTCACTGCCAGCCATTTTCAAACGTATGCTTTCAATTGACGTCTATAGACGTCAATGGCAGTGAATGAGTTAATAGATTAAATATCCTAATACTTAAGTAAAGCACCTCAAGTACATAAGTAGGAGACTTCAACCTTAAAAACTCACCTGTGGACTCTGAAGTAGGAACTGACTTGGATTGGCAGGTTAATATTAAAATTAATATTAATATTAAAATTCAAAGTGTGTAACAAGGTCATCAAGAGGCAAGACTAGGAAATGGAGTCAAAGTTGTTCACACCTTCACTGATGTACATTTTTTCTTG